CACTGTTACAGAGCTCATTCAAGGACAAATAAAGCTTTTTATAAACCGTATCACACGTGCGTGAACCTTACGTTATTGGCTGCACAACACCCATCACACCATTTCATTGACTACATTATCACTGGACGAACTGAAGGATTTCACACCGGGTTGGTACACTTGTCAACCGGTACACTAGAATGTGACAGTTTACAATCCACATTAGATGATCCACAGTTAGTACACACACTTATCATGACTGAGGTGGAACAAGGGTTTTTGTTGGGTCCATTCATTTCCCCACCCTTCACATCCTGGAGAACCAACCCCATAGGGGTTGTCATGGGGAAAACTTCACTCAAACCTAGACTGATAATTGATCTGTCAGCAGCACCACATTCCTCCACTATCGCAAGCCTTAATTCACCTTCTGAAGAATTTTCGTTACACTATGCCACTATCGATCATGCCATAGGGACCATCTTAAAGGCTGGTACAGGTGCGTGGTTAAGTAAAACTGACGTAGTAAATGCCTTCAAATTGCTTCTCATGCACCCTTCCCTATGGCATCTACATGGCATAAATGGCAGGGGTTGTATTATTTCTTTACACGTCTCATTTTTGGCTCCAAGAGCAGCCTGAGAATTTTTGACACGTTTGTGGAATCTTTGTTCTAGCTGTTACTTAATGTGTGTAGATGTCCATTGGTTATTCACTACCTAGACGATTTCCTCATGATTGAGAATAACACACTCCGCCCAAGGAGCTTGACACACATGTTGGGTCTGTTTGAATCCCTCACTATCCCTGTATCCGCTCACAAAACTTTAGGTCCAGACAATGGCATGCAATTTTTGGGGATCCAATTGAACTCTATCCATATGCAAGCTAGCCTCCCACAGGATAAAATTGAGAGCACCCTGGCAAGCATTGAACACTACCTACTACAAGGTTATTGCAACCTGAAGGACCTGCAATCGCTGCAGGGGTTGCTCAATTTTGCTATTAGGATTATACCACAGGGTAGATCCTTTATCTCCCACTTACTATCTTTATTTCCACAATTCACCTCAGACACTTCACATATCACTTTAGATGATCATGCAACATCTGATTTATGTATGTGGTTTTTTTTTCTCACCTCTTGGAACGGGTGAGCCATGTTTATACCACCACCCTCTGACACTTCACCTACACTATGGACAGATGGCGCAGCAAAATCCGGTTTTGCAGCCATCTGGGGAGATCAATGGCTTTGGGGACCCAGGCCAACCGAAGTTAAATCACTGCCCAGCTTTTCAGATACCTCAGTTTTATTTGAGTTATAGCCAATCATGGCAGCGGCCATTGCCTGGGGACCAAATTGGTCCGGTCTCGCGGTTAGGTGTTACTCAGATAATTTAGCTACGTGCCATATTGTAAATAAAGGCTGGTCTTCATCTCTGGTAATTATGAGACTGTTGAGACAACTCACATGGGTAGAAGCCACTTGTCAATTTTTATCACCTGTATCCATGTTCCAGGGTACACAAACACCTTGGCTGACCACTTGTCTCAGTTTCGTTTTCACGCTTTCTTCTTGACACCACTTATCGCTTCCAGACTGGCTACTCCTGCCCCACCATTTCAAGACATGATAATGGATTGAATGCTTTGTTAAACCCTGCACGTCACGTTTCTCACCTTGCACTTTTGGTAAACACCAGGAAAACATGCGATAGGGCCTTTCACGTATTCACAAAATTTATAACGGAATTTCACATCCACAACATGTTTGCTTTAGAATCAATATTAGGGTTCACTTCTTTTTGCCACATTAACCTTAAATTATCTTTTAATACAAAAAAGCTGTACCTTACAGGCATCCAGCACCACATGCTTATTCGACAACCCAACGCAACAGGTTTCCTGTCATCATACAAAATAAAGACAGTACTTAAAGGCATTAAAAAAAATAAACACACACGTCCTCTCTTAAAGACTACACATATACAATGACATATTCCACTCACTATCCAACTTAGATTCTTCTCCTTTTGAACCCATGACTAATACCGTGATCAAAACAGCCATATATTTAGCTTTTTATGGGTTCCTCCGTCCAACGAATTTACAGCTAGGAACATTACTACACTGGACTACCTGAGAATGATTGACCATTATGTTCTATCCTTAAGACAATCCAAAACCAGCACCCTAGGACATACTATTAAAATTCCCTTGTATTCTACTAAAAATAAGTGGTGCCCGGTACAAGTCATGGACACTTATTTCATTTCGGTCCACAAAAACAACCACACCAACCACTGCTTGAATTGCATGGATACACACTTACAACAGCAAAATTCATGCTTTATGTTCAGCTGCTGTTGACTAGGCTGGGCCTAAATCCCAATCATTTTTCAGGACACTCTTTTTGCATAGGGGAAGCATCTTCAGCATCCGCTAATCACATACCTGCTCATATCGTCAAGGCTATGGGGCACTGGAAATCCTCCGCCTACATTCTTTACGTACCAAATCCAGTTAAAGAATTAAGACAAGCTTTCTGTGACTTATCCAAATAAATGAAGTTGGGTACACGAATTATGTTTTATGGTATTTTCTTTTTGCCCACTTTTATTACAGGCCTACTGCTTTGTCGGTTCCGGCACACCACAACTGACTGGTGTAAACTTATTGATGTTATGGTTATAATATGCTAGGTTTCTGTTTTACGGCTATATTGCCCCAACTTGCCTTGGCCTGTAGTTGTGGGAGGGGCTTGGATCCCCTATAAAAGGGCTGCCAATCCTCTCTCACCTTACCTTTGCTGGTCTGATGAGTCACCCCTCCGACCACTCCCTCTGTTCATATCACCCTCCAAGGTGGGCCCACTTTTATTACAGGCCTACTGCCTTGTCGGTTCTGGCACACCACAACCGACTGGTATAAACATATTTGCCCCGACTACAAATATATATACACACACACTGTTCAAAAAAATAAAGGGAACACAAAAATAAACACATCCTAGATCTTAATGAATTAAATATTCTTCTGAAATACTTTGTACTTTACATAGTTGAATGTGCTGATAACAAAATCACACAAAAATAAAAAAATGGAAATCACACTTTTCAACCCATGGAGGTCTGGATTTGGAGTCACACTCAAAATTAAAATGGAAAACACACTACAGGCTGATCCAACTTTGATGTAATGTCCTTAAAACAAGTCAAAATGAGGCTCAGTAGTGTGTGTGGCCTCCACGTGCCTGTATGACCTCTCTACAATGCCTGTGCATGCTCCTGAAGAGGTGATGGATGGTCTCCTGAGGAATCTCCTCCCAGACCTGGACTAAAGCATCTGCCAACTCCTGGACAGTCTGTGGTGCAACGTGACGTTGGTTCTCCACTATATATTTATGCTGAGTTTATAAAGCTTGGCTCTTTCCTCTGCAAAAGTTAATTACTTCAATACCCTCATAACCACACAAACCCAAACGACTATTTTACACATTTAACTCTCTCCTTCGCCCTGCTGTTCCACCTCCACCTACTAACTTGACCGCCTCAGACTTTGCAACTCACTACACTGACAAGATCTCTACAATCAGAGAAGAGATATCTCATCTTTCTTCTTCCCCTTACAATACTTCCCCTAACTTCACTCCCTCTGCTGTTCTATGTTCATTCGCAACCACTACATTGAAAGAGGTTTCTGCTCTGCTCCAGTCCTACCGCCCCACCACTTGCTCCCTAGATCCAATTCCCCCATCCATACTCTGTCTTCTCTTTCTCAACCTCTCACTAAAATTCTCAATCTCTCTCTCTCCTCTGGTATATTTCCATTGCCCTTCAAACATGCAACTGTAACCCCAATTCTAAAAAAGCCCGATCTTGACCCTAACTCCCCATCCAACTATCGTCCTATGTCTCTACTGCCTTTTGCATCCAAGATCCTTGAAAAAATTGTGTATGCGAGATTGACAGACTTTCTCGAGTCCAACTCTCTGCTAGACCCGCTTCAGTCTGGTTTCCGTGCTAAGCACTCTGTGGAAACGGCACTCCCTCAAAGTATCCAATGATCTACTTGCTGCAAAATCTAGTGGTCACTACTCTATCCTAATTCTCCTTGACCTGTCTGCGGCTTTTGGCACTGTTGATCATCAACAGCTTCTTCTCAATATCCGCAATATCGGTCTACAAGATATTGCTCTCTCCTGGTGCTCCTCCTACCTCTCCCAGCGCTCTTTCAGTGTTTCTTTCTCTGGCTCTGCTTCTTTTCCCCAACTCCTCTCTGTTGGTGTCCCCCAAGGTTCAGTCCTTGGTCCCCTACTGTTCTCCATCTATACTGCCTCCCTTGGTAAACTCATTAGCTCCTCTGGCTTACAATATAATTTCTATGCAGATGACACGCAAATCTACCTGTCCTCTCCTGATCTCTCCCCGTCCCTCTTGACTAGTGTCTCTGACTGCCTCTCTGCTGTTTCTAACTGGATGGCTGCCCACTTCCTTAAACTAAACATGACCAAAATTGAAATTCTGGTCTTTCCTCCCTCAAGTGTTGTTACTCCTGTGTCTGTCTCCCTCCAAGTCAATGATGCTACCATCAACTCCACCACGCAGGCTCGCTGCCTAGGTGTTCTCTTTGACTCCGACCTCTCCTTCAAGCCTCATGTTCAATCTATCGCCAAATCCTGTCATTTCCATATCAAAAGCATTGCGTGCATCCGCCCCTACTTAAGGCCAGATGCGAGTAAGGTGTTTGTCCATTCCACTGTCCTTTCTCACCTTGACTACTGTAATCTGCTTCTCAGTGGTCTTACGTGCTCCCAACTTGCGCTGTTACGGTCCATAATGAATGCAACGGTGAGGCTCATCTTCCTGTCCGCCCGCAACTCCCATGCCTCACCCTTCTGTCAGTCCTTACATTGGCTTTCTATAAAATATAGAGCTCAATTTAAAATTCTGGTTCTTGCTTTCAAATCTCTACATAATGTTGCTCCCACCTATCTATCCTCCCTTATACACAAGTATGTCCCCTCTAGGCCCTTATGATCTGCTGAAGACTTACGTCTATCTTCTGTCCGTACTCCCACCTCTGATGCTCGCCTTCAAGATTTCTCGAGGGCTGCACCGTTCCTGTGGAACTCGCTTCCCTCCTCCGTTAGATGCTCACCCAGTCTCCACTCCTTCAAAAAAAATTGTTAAAAACCCACTTCTTCATAAAAGCGTATCAATTAAACTGTTAATAGCTCCTGACTGATTCCTCTTCTGCAACTGTCACTAGTCTAATACTATCCTTACCTTTTTGTGTCATTTTACCCCACTCCCTCTAGCATGTAAGCTCATTGAGCAGGGCCCTCAACCCCTCTGTTCCTGTGTGTCCAACTTGTCTGGTTACAACTACATGTCTGTTCGTCCACCCATTGTAAAGCGCTGTGGAATTTGACGGCGCTCTATAAATAACATAATAATAATAATGATGTCCCAGATGTACTCAATTGAATTCATGTCTGGGGAACGGGCGGGCCAATCCATAGCATCAATGCCTTCGTCTTGCAGGAACTGCTGACATACTCCAGCCACATGAGGTCTAGCATTGTCTTGCATTAGGAGAACCCAGGGCCAACCACACCAGCATATGGTCTCACAAGGGGTCTGAGGATCTCATCTCGGTATCTAATGGCAGTCAGGCTACCTCTGGCAAGCACATGGAGGGCTGTGCGGCCCCCCAAAGAAATTCCACCCCACATCTCCTGATGTACTGGCCTATTTCCTGGTAGCACCTCCATGCTCTGGACACTACCCTGACAGACACAGCAAACCTTCTTGCCACAGCTTGCATTGATGTGCCATCCTGGATGAGCTGCACTACCTGAGCCACTCCGTCTCATGCTACTACTAGAGTGAAAGCACCGCCAGCATTCAAAAGTGACCAAAACATCAGCCAGGAAGCATAGGAACTGAGAAGTGGTCTGTGGTCACCACCTGCAGAACTACTCCTTTATTGGGGATGTCTTGCTAATTGCCTATCATTTCCACCTGTTGTCTGTCCCATTTGCACAACAGCATGTGAAATTGATTTTCACTCAGTGTTGCTTCCTAAGTGGACAGTTTGATTTCACAGAAGTGTGATTGACTTGGAGTTACATTGTGTTGTTTAAGTGTTTATTTTTTATTTTTTTGAACAGTGTGTATATATATATATATATATATATATATACCAAATACAAAAAATTTTCTTAGAAGTTTTTCTAGAAGTTTTACAAAATCACAATAGTTTTTTGATTCAATTGGAAAACTTTTCAGCTCTGCAAATTTGACTTATATGCCATAAGTGTTGTGCTTGAAGAAACACCAGATAACTGCTGAAATGTCAGCATTTTATGTCCTCAGAAAATGTCAGGACAAAGAACATTGCTTTCTCTGCCATTCAAAGAAGGCAGAAATTTACTCTAAATACTAGGAGAATTCAAACAATACACAATAATAAAAGATGTATTTATCAAAATATTATTACTGTTAATTGCTATTGGCCAGACATGTGCGAATACTTATTTGTACTTAGTTGCATTATAAATCATGTTTTTTATATAACTCAGTTTATTAATATTTCTTGTCTGTGAGAAAAACTAAAGTTCAATAAATAAATCAGAATTTTCTTTGTTTCTCTGTATGTTCATTGCTCTACTTATTTACATAAAATAAATCTATTGCACAAATGTCGAGACACAGATAAAGAATGGCCACTCACAGCATGATTCCAATAAAATGCAACAATAAAAGCATGGTAATATCCATTCATATTTATATGGATATATTAAAGTAACAAAGCACAATTCCAATACCAGGGTCAGGCAGTTCATACTGCAGAAATGTGTCTTATTGTTTCAAATGTCTCTGTGTGTTAGTGAATAAATGTAAATATGTATTATTTAGGTTTCTAGAGCAGTGATGGCTAACCTTGACACCATAAATTGTTTCTGGACTACATTTCCCTTGAGGCTCAGCTATCCTTTAGAGTCTACAAGCTAGCTGAACATCATGGGAAATGTAGTCCAGAAACAATTTATGGTGTCAAGGTTAGCCATCACTGTTCTAGAGTATAGCATGTCAATTAGTTAATCCAAACTAGTTCCACATGGAACTTACAGGGACATTTTAGGCAAATAGACAACTTAATTGAAGTGGTCTGTGCACAGTTGCCCTGTCTCCTTAACCGTGCAATGGTAATTATTGCAGTTTTTGCAATATTTACCTTGCAGGGTTAAGCCTGCCTCTAGAGGCTGTCAATCAGACAGTCACTAGAGGAACTTCCTGGTGGTTAGGTGTTACTGAACATCCTCACTCTCTGCATGAGGATATCCAGCATCAGTTAAATCCCCATAGAAAAGTATTGCAGCAATGCTTTCCTATGGAGGGCACCTAATGAGCTTGTGGTGTTGTTGCACATGAGTATTACTGCCCCCCTTGGGTGACATTGGAGGGGGCAGAATGCTGACTCAAGGGAAATTGGTAAGTACAGTAAGGGTATTTTAAACCTTACTATGTTGGGCGGAGCATGAGGGAAGAGGGGAGGCACGAGGGAGCCATAGTTCTTGGAATACAACTTTGTATTAGCACTATAGTATCCCTTTAAGTGCTCCACAGAAAGCCATGGAAAACATGGAGCTATTTATTAAATTGAATTGCTATTTCATGAGCTGAAAAGGAGGTATCTTGTAAATGCTATGCATGTGGTCTCACTAGATGAACAGTGTCACAACAATTTTTCCTTTCAATGCTTCCGTAAAATATGATGCTTTCACCTATGGCCCAGAAAGGAAAGGCATGCCTGTTGAGGTCTCCAATACTCCAGCATGTAATAATTAAAATGTAACAAGCCTGCCACCACTCACCTGTCCCACTGCATCCTGGAGGCTCTCCTCTGGAGTCTAAGGTGCCTATGGCTCTGTCTGGCCACTTGCTTGATCATGCCGCTTCGCCGGCAGCTTCTGGCTCAATTGCCTGGCACTGGGCTCTGCTTGGGCACTGCTGCCACGTCAAGATGGTGGCCACCATGATTATGCTGGTGAAGCAAGAAGAGGGGTTTGGGGGAGTTCAAGGAGAGGGAGACTTAGTGAGAGAGGGAAAGGACTGAGGAATAGGCAATACCCAATCTCCTCCTTTATAGTCATTGTGGCTCTGGAATCCTGCTGCCTATTCTGGGATTTCCTGGCTTATGACCTTCAGCTTGACTTTTGACCTTGCTTCTTTTCTACCAGCCATGACCATCGGACACTGCTTCCTGTTTGCTTCTTTCTGACTTCATCGCTTCCTCTAGAAATAAAGGCACCCATAACCTCCTAGATCTCCCAGGTACTCATATCACTCTCAGGCACCTATGAAGGTCATGTCTGCATGAGGTTGCTGTTTCACTACAACTGAGAACCTCTACACTGGGGCACCACCGCAGTATGATGGAGAACACCATGCGGATGCTGACGGGGTTAGCATAGGCTGATGGAAAAGATACTTAGAGAGACAGAGGGGAGGGGCTGAAGAATAGCCAAGTTGAAAAGCCAACCGGTAGGTTATTACATAAAAACCAAGCCCTACACTATGGAACTTGCAAGAACTAGAGAGACTATAGCAACACTAACTCAAAAGGTGGCAGCACTAACTTAGTCAGTTCAGGAACAGCAATCTTCTGCTGCAAGGTGTTCCTTTGGGGGCTGGAAGCTTTTGTATGGTGTTAAATAGGAAGTCGCATCCTGCAAGCTGAGATGGTTCTTAGGAGGGTCCTCCAGACACTGGATCCATTCTGTTTGTGCATGCCTAACCTAGTGGACCTTAAAAAGGAGACATTACCATACAGGGGTGTGCCAGTGATGCGGGCATGATGCAGTGCTATGTTTCACCTCTTCCTATTTAAACCTGCTTACACAAGCTGTCCTTGCTCAGTATTACTGCACTCATTGGGCCTGTCTGTTGTTTCTGACTACCTGGTATCTGACCTTTGACCTGACCTCTATTTTTGAACCTGTGCTGTCTGATCTCACCATTTGCTAGTCTGACCCTGCCTTTGCCTCATCTCATTGCCAGGCTTTGGAATTTCTTTTCTTTTTTTCATATTTAAAGATCTATTAATCAATATTTTTCATTTTACATATTGAATTATACAAATATCATATAAGTGTACAATAAATCCACATTATAAAATTATTTCATTAGTCTCTTTCAAAATAAAAAGTACACATGTTTGTATCACCTGAATCATGCAAATGTTTAAAGAAGGAGACAAATACAAAAGAAACACACACACAAAACAAAAAAAATCCATCCATTTATACTCATATACATCATTTTCTCCAATTAAAAAAAAATTTGGTCCTAAATCTTAATTATAATCTACTATGAGAGAATTTGAAATAAAAAAAACAAAAAACTTGGAAATAGGATTAATGACAGTGACCAAATAAATGTTAAATAATCTACTGATTATATATTTCTATCTTCCAAAAACATTAAATATAATAACACAGACATTTTAGTGGATAATATTAAAACTGTCCTTAATTTTTTTTTTTAAATTCCTATTACATTTTTTAAAAAATTAGTAGTGATAATATTAAATAGGTAAAGTTTCTAAGTACATTGAAACTGAATGAAATATAATGTATGCGTCAGTAAATTGTATTAAGCAGTAGGATATAGGAATATGTTGATCATCAACAGCTTCTTCTCATCCTCCGTAATCTCAGTCTTTGAGATATTGCTCTCTCCTGGTGCTCCTCCTACCTCACCCAGCTCTCTTTTAGTGTTTCTTTCTTTGGCTCTGCCTCTTCCTCCCAACCTCTGTTGGTGTCCCCCAAGGATCAGTCCTTGGTCCCCCTACTGTTCTCCATCTATAGTGCCTCCTTTGATAAACTCATCAGCTCCTTTGTCTTACAATATCACTTTTCTGCGGATGACATCCAAATCTATCTGTCCTCCCCCTGATCTCTCCCCGCCCCTCTTGACTAGTGACTCTGACTGCCTCTCTGCTATTTCTAACTGGTTGGCAGACCACTTCCTTAAGCTCAACTTGCCCAAAACAGAACTTCTGGTCTTTCCTCCCTCAAGTGTTGCTACTCCCATTTCTGTCTCCCTCCACATTAGTGGTGCTACCATCAGCTCCACCACACAGGCTTGCTGCCTTGGTGTTCTCTTTGACTCCAACCTCTCCTTCATCCCATCGCCAAAACCTGCCGCATCTGCCTCTAGTTAATGCCAGATGCGGCTAAGGTGCTGGTCCATGCCACTATCCTCTCTCGCCTTGACTACTGCATTTGGCTTCTCAGTGGTCTTACATGCTCCCAACTTGCCCCATTGCAGTCTACAATGAATGTGGTGGTGAGGCTCATCCTTCTATTCGCCTGCAACTCCCACACCTCACC